GCCGGCCGTGGCAGTGAGGGGCGGCTGAAGGGCGACTAATGCGGTGGAGCTTCGGGGGAGAAATGAGGGTTTAGGGTTTACGGTTGAGGGTGTAGGGTTTAGGGTACTTGTAAGAACGCCATAAGAAAGGGGTTCGAAGGGCTGAATGGCGCAAGCGGAGTTTGACGCTTTGGGTTGGGGTCGGCGTTTTGTGGTGCGCTTCATCGACGTCGTCGCTCCGGACGATGTGTGCAGCCGAAGATCAGCGGGACCGTGCCTGTCGCAGCGTTCTAGGGTCACTCAGCCCAAAACCAACTTACGGATATTTGGGAATAATTTGCAATCTTTGGGGAACTGTAATTCCTAAGAAACAGCGAAAATTATATTTTTGCTAGGGTTCCAAGTTCAATATAGCCAAGCTCTTTAGAGGAATCTCGTCCTGCCGCGCACGTTGCGCGGCCCGCTCCCGCTGAGGGCCAGATATCTATTTAGATTCCGCCTATCACGTCAGCCGCACCCCTACCAGTATTCGAGGTCGAGGGCTTTCCTAAGGGGTTAGGTGCTACAATGTGAGACCGTTTTCTCTGCGTAGGACATCACCCCTTGGAACCGTTGAACAGTTCAAGGGGTGCTCTTCGATGCTTCAAGCATTGATCTTAAAGGCGAGTTCTACTCCGCCCGAAAGAAACAAGTTGACTTTCAAGGGGGGCGAGGGGCCTGCAAAAGAGATTGGCCCAGTAGGGCTTGGGGGTTTAAAGGTTTGGCTGGGAGTTGACTCAGTTGACATTAGGATAGTAGACGTTTAAGGGTGCAGGCTCTTAGGGTGCAGGCTGAGTTTAGGCTTCCAGTGCCAGGGTCAAGAATACAAGCAAGCGCTCCGGGGTTTAGAGAGGTATAAGGTATGAAGGTTCCTTTAGTAGTTGAGACGCTTTGCACCTAAACGTGCTCGAGGCTGCAAGCCTCTTCCTCTCAAATACTGGTTTGAGGTGCCTCCAACTCTTCCTCCGCAGGTGGGGCTGGTTCAGAACGAGGGTCCCTTTCCCGGCGCCGTTCACATTCCTATTTTGGTATTTAGGGTTTAGGGGTTGGGGATAGTAAGACCAGGTCTCTCACAGAAATCCCCCTACAAAAAGGGGGGAGGGGGGGGTGGGGCGCCCCAAGAAAGGGACCCTCATCTAGAGCAACCCCCGGGTGACCGCAAGGCTCAATGGCTTAAGTGACCGCCACTGTGCCTCCCTTCTGGCCTGGGCTGTCAGTTTTGCGTGCTTTTGGTTTAGGGCTTCTGGGTCTTGTGAGAGGAGTTTGTGCGGTTATGCGGATGTTTTAACATGAGGGCTACGGGGGGACCCTAACCCTGAGGGCTCGCCATAAGCTCTTCAGCATGTGCACACAAGAGAAGGGAAAGGCAGGCCGGGAGGCCACTGGATTTTCAGCGACGCGGACCTGCGAAGGGAAGAGAAAAGGACCAGGGTTTGGAGTTAGGGTTTAGGGTTTGTGGGCCTACAAAGTTGCCATTTTGAGCGTCGGTTATTCGTAAGCAAGGTATATACCCAATATTCAATTAGCAGTAGATGGAAGAGACAATTTTTCCCAACGCGGTACCGTCACCCGCAAACTCGGCCAAAGGAGTACGGAGTCTTGAGTTTGAACACATATTGTGCTGTGCGCTCAGACTCACGCCGTTTCTTACCTGCTTTTTTGCCCAATACGCCTGGAACTTGCATGTTGTAGGCGTTGCGTGCGTTCGCATGACCAAAGTAGACATTGCACAGGCGAATGTGTTCGAGCAATGGGTCTGCGCCTGGCAGTGCCAGGTACATGTCCATGACCAAAGTAGACGTTTACATGCCAGTATTCTTGAGCAAGAGTTCTGCACACCGCGTGATATGCTGCGGGCCTCAGGTGTCTCTTCAGTTCCCTTGCAGCAATCAAAAACCATTGCAGTGCAGTGCACGATTTCAATGATCCCCGTGAGTCTGGATGGGTGATGTAGCAAGCCGCATGTTGAGCCATGAATCTGTCGACTGTGGCGTCCCAACTGCGCCCGCACCCGAGCTTGATCGGAATTCGACTTGTTTTTTGATCTTGGGAAGTGAGAGGGGTTGAAGCTCATGTCTTCCATGGGTGTCATGTGAGGGTTGCAGGGGTGGGCTTGGAGCCTGAGCCTTAGGGGTGAGCAGCTTGCTTAGCACTCTGGACGGTTAAGGTTAGGGTGACTAAGGTTTAGGGTTTAGGGTTTGGGTTTGCCAAAAATCTGTTTTGGGTGATCCTAGATTAGAAGCAGAGACCGCAAGCAAGTGTCAAGCCAAACAACCAAGCAAGCGAGCAACCACAACCCACAACACGCAAACACCAGCCACAACCTCCACAACCACAACCCACAGCCCACAACACCTGCAACAACAAACAAAAGCCCTCAATTCCTTCCCACCAGACTTGCGTGCACCCCTCCTCCCCCCCTCCCCGGCGCTACCAGGCGCTGCGCAGGACATCTCCAACGTCCGGGCCCCCGGGGATTTCTGGGGGTCAGGGGGCTTTGGGGTCCTACGAGTCTGCATGATGCGATTTTGAAGCTATGTGGATCTGTGTCAAAGTCAAGGCCGCGGCCGAGATGTCCTGAATGTGTGAGCTGCACTCCTGCAATCGAATAAGCCCTACAAGGGCCACGAGAAGAATCACCATACTTGCTTAGATTCTTGGAAGGGTAGTAGCACCGTTTCGGCCAGATGGATTGCGCCTCCTCAGCAAAGATGCCATTGCTAGACGCAACAGCTGTGACCCCCACGGGCGATTGGAATGTGTATTCCCCAGCTGCTCGGATCGTCTGCTCTACCAACATCCTTTGGTTCTTCATCCCAGTGGCTTGGAGTTGGCAGCTTCCCGAGCGTTCGGTTTTGTTGACGATGTTTTGGGCTGCAGATGTCTTCCTCCTTGGCGCAGCTTTGAACTACTGGCTGGACGGCACCCGTTACACGTGGAAGATGTTCCTTGATATTATCGCTGTTGTAACCTTCGGCTGCCTTGGCGCCGCCTACGCGTTGAGCTTGGGGGGTATGGTGCCTTATGTTACTGCCATTCCAGGGTTGGTGTTTGCCATCTCCTTCATTGTGAACTGTATGCAGCTGACGAGCTGCGGAGGAGCAGCCAAGGTCAACACCACATGGCTGCTCAGTTTCATCTCTTACCGGTGGGGAGGATTGGCGTCGGCAATTATCGTCACAAGCGTGGCCAACAATGCGACCCTCCAGTCGATCTGGACATCTTGCATCTACAAGGTGTTGGTTGTTACCGTTGCTTTCTACTTGCACAACCTGAAGGTCTGGTATGAGACCTTGCCTCTGAACAGGCTCAAGGGTCGAGCAGGTCGAGAGTTTGCGTCTACTGCTCTTCGCTACATTCTGGAGGTTGGTGTCCTATGCGCGGTGTGCGCGGCTATGTGTTCTTGATCCACGTGCGTATGAGTCGAAAGGCAGGCTCCCTGGTGACCATAGCGCCATAGCATGAGTTCTGAATGCATGGCAAGGGGTCGATTCAGCCATTGAGCCCTACCCGAGCTTGCTGACCTGTGAGATGCCACCATGGCCTGCTGTAGTTCTGACCGAAATAGCTCGTGCCAGCATGGCCTGCATTTCGTAAGCAATGCCAGGTGGCGAAGAGAAGGCGTCAGCGCAAGGCGGTGAAGACATCACTGTCGAAGTACGCAGCAGCTTACTCGAACTGCAAGACTCGAGCAGCACGTGCGACAAAGTCATCGGTCAAACTGGAGGACTAGCTGCAACTGGTGCCGGAGAATCCCTGAAGCGCCCAGCCCCAGAGTTATCCCCAGCAAAGCCCTGGAATGCCCAAACCCGGAAAATCCTTGCAGCGCTCAACGCCAACCGCAGAGTATCCCCAGAAAACTCCCAATCTCCCCACCGTAACCAACCAGAGCGGACTAAGCGACGCACTGTGATCCCCACTGCCTCCGTTCCAGAACCGTGTGGAGCATACATGATCATACCTGGAATTACCTGACTACCTGCTCTTTTTGTCCTCCCCTGGGGCGGGATGCGTTGGAAGGCCCTGATCACGCAAGCTATCGTAGCGATGCTTTCGTTTCTATCTCCGTTAGGAGTGGGGGCTGGACCAGCGCTGCTTGTGCTGATGTCTGGAGCCCTCCTTGCCAGCTCGGTTTCATCTCCCTTGCTGATGCGGGTGATGATGCCTGGAGCCCACCTCCCCAGCTTTGTTTCATCTCCGTTGCTGGTGCAGCTGCGTCTGCTGATGCCTGGAGCCCGCCTTGCCAGCTCTGTTTCCTCTCTTGCTGGTGCAGCCCTCCTCGCCAGCTCTGTTTCATCTCCGTTGCTGGTGCAGCTGCGTGTGCTCATGATTTCCTGCCGCCCCAATCGTATTTTTCCTCAAAAAAACTTAATCTGGACACGCAGCTTTGTGTCCATCTGGTTCAACAAAGCATTCTTGCATCCGACCCTGCCCTCTTGCTGCCCTAGCTCCTCTAGCCTGGACCTGCTAGCTTGCGTTCCCCTTGGCCCCGCCCCTCAAGTTTTTGATAGTTCCAGAAATCCTACAGTATTGTTCAACGCGTTTGCCTCCGGCATCCTGCAGCAATGCTGAACGAAGAAGGTATCCACATTCTAGGGCGCTTGCTTTACCAGTCCTTCCCCAGCATGTGCCTCTGAACCCTGAACCCTAAACCCTAAACCCTAAACCCTAAACCCTAAGCTTCAGGCCGGCCTCAGCGGCGCCTCAGTCACGCAGTCGCTGCAGGAGACATGGCCATGTGGTGCATGGGCCTTCATTTGCCCAGTTGCCCCCCGAGCTTTCGGCCTTAGGGCAAGCTGTTCAGCCTGTCTAAAACTCCGAACCCTAAACCCTAAACCCTAACCCCTAAACCCTAAACCCTAAACCTAAACCCTAAACCCTAAACCCTGAACCCTAAACCCTAAACCCTAAGTAATGTAAAACAGCGCAACCAGGATGGCGCGCAGCGAGCGCCGAAGCCCTGGATTCAGGCGTCAGGAGCCGCCGAAACGCGGGTTTCGTGCTTCCTCGGCTTGACATGTTGTGGGGATTAGGGTTAGGGTTTAGGGTTTGGGGTTTAGGGTTTAGGGTTTAGGGTTTAGGGTTTAGGGTTTAGGGTTTAGGGTTTAGGGTTTAGGGTTTAGGGTTTAGGGTTTTTAAATTGAGCGGTTGTGGGGATGTAGGGGTTGGATGCGGACCAAGGCTTCAACCTCCCAGTCCCCACAGCTCCACAATGTCCTCCACAAACCCCCAACCTAAATCCTCACCCCTGGACCCTAAGCTTTGTCATAGTTGGGTAGCATTTTACATTTTTAAGGGTACTTAAACAACCCAATAAGGAATAAACAATTTAGATTTTTAGTATTGTCCCAACAATGAACTAGTAAGCCCTAAAACAACCCTATCAACTCCCTACCCCCGGTGAACCCAGAAATCGAGGCGGGGGGCCCTTGCCAACTTGGCCGGCGAAGCCCGCAAAGTGCTGAGCGCTGGGCGGGGGGTTTAGGGTTGGGGTTAGGGTCGAGGGTTGAGGGTTTAGGGTTAGGGTTTGTAGGGTTTAGGGCTTAGGGGGTTGCGGGGGTTTGGACGGGTGTTTTTTGGGGGGGTGCGGGGGGATCTTCGGGTTGCCTAGGGCTTAGAAGGGTTTGGAGGGTTTGCACAGCTCGGGTAGGGGTTTAGGCGGTTTAGGGGATATGGGGTCTCGCTTTTCCGCATTGTTCAGGAGTTTGGGTTTACGGCCAGCGGTTCTAATGATGCAGGGTATAGGGGAGCTTGAGTTGAGAGGTTTAGGGTTCAGGTTTTGGGGGGCTTGAGAAAGTATCCATTCCTCTCGAGAGAGGGGGTCCTGGGGTTTCGGGATCAGGCTTCTTACCCTAAACCCTAAACCCTAAACCCTTCAAATCCCTAAACGTTAGGGTTTATAGGGCTTAGTGAGCAGAGTGAAGGTTGACACCTCGGATGGATTCGCCCATTGATCCCCTCTCAGGGCCACCGCAAGCCTGAAGCCGCAAACCCTAATAATTATGAACCGTTCAGGATTTAGGGTTTAGGGTGTAGGGTTAGGGTTTAGGGTTTAGGGTTTAGGGTTTAGGGTTTAGGGTTTAGGGTTTAGGGTTTAGGGTTTAGGGTTTAGGGTTTAGGGTTTAGGGCTTCTTGTTGTTTTTTTGGTTTTGCTCTGTGTGCCCTCTCTGTGTGAGGCACCAACCTCCTTGGCTGGGGCCGGTCTGACCCATCGCCTTCTGCAATTCCCTCTGCCGCCGCCTAAGCTGCTGCAAGGAGTGAAGCATCCACATGCCTCTAAACTTGGGATGTTCACCCTTTGACTAACAGTCCTGACTCGAGATTCGAGTACCCCCTACTAGAATGCCTATTAAGGGCTGTTAGTATAAGGGGGAACATCCCAACTCTAGACCCCTAAACCCCAAGACCGGACTTGTATGTAAGCACGACTACGAAGCTACGTCCAACGTTCCCCGCGCTCGCCGCGCTCGCCGCCCGAGGACGGCACTCGCTGTGAAAGCTGCGGCGAGCCGTTCGGCCTCTTGAGAAGGCCTGATGGGTGTAGATCGCAGCCCTAAACCCCGAAGCCCTACACCCTATAAACCCTGTAAACCCCATAAACCCTCTAAAACCCTGTAAACCTGATAAAACCCCATAAACCCTAAAAACCCTTAAAAGCGATAAGCCCTAAAGCCTACTAGAGCTCCAGCCCTCCCATCACAGCTGGTTTCAGGCGGCAGACCTGCGGAGCCTGCGACCGCTACTTGTGCGCCACCTGCCTGGGCAGCTCCTTCGCTGTGGTGCTCCCGACATGTCGGAGGTAATGTTTGGGAGGATGTCTGAAGGGACGACTCTCTCTAGTCCTACTCACAGTTCGCAGTGCCTGAAATTCATGAAGACACTGCTGCTTGGTGAGATTCGACTGTGCGGTCGACCATCCCTTCAGAGCCCGTGGCCTTTCGAAAAGAAGCATGTTAAAGCCAGGCAGGCATTGGATGCTTTTGCGGCTCGCAGTGCCCACAGTGTCGAGAACTTGGCCAACGCAGCAGTCCGCCCCTCAGTCGCTTCATGAAGGCGCGTCTTCGGTCGCTGAGCTGCATAAGTGCACTGTCGGCTGCTGCTCGCATTCGTTCTCTCAAGATTCAGGCGAGTTCCAGCTCATCCGCCCCAAAATGGAGGTTGGCATCCAAGTCAAAGCTCCGTGCGATTGGGTGGGGCACCTGGTGGCATCTACTCACCATCCTACCCTGAACAGGACGGTGTCAGCGCGACCATCGGTCTTCCCAAGAAGGCCAGGTGCTGAGAGCGAGAGCAAGGAGGAGTGTTAGAGCGAGGAGGCGAGAGAACTGCGGAGCAGAAGCAGAACAACGGCTAAAGTAGCAGTAAGAAGAACAGGAGTATGGGCGTGAGCTGAAGCTGTTCTTGTCATGCCTTGATGATGATAATAATAATAATGATGAATAATTATTAACAATAATACTAATAGTCATTTATTTCTCATAGCAAAAATAATAATTGTGGCTAATATCAATAGCAGCAATAGCAACAATAATACCAATAATAAAGTGTAGGAATAAGAATAAGAAAAGATTAAATAGTACTAAGAAAACTTTAATATGAGACGCTAGCGATACTTGGTGATAATGACCAAAGCACCAAGGCCGGCCTCTTCGCCATGGGCGACAGGACGGCGTTGCGGAACACCACCCCCCCCCCCCCCCAGAGGAACCCCCCAAAATTGGGGCCATATACTTTTCTAGCAGAGTTCCTATTCAGGTAAATGAATCGTATGAACCCTGAATTTGGGGTCATATACCCTACGATAATTCCTATTCAGGTATATGAACCATAAACTCTTTTAGGGCTTCATGTGGTCCCTGAGGCCCTGAAAGCCAGCGCATGCCAGTGCAGCGCGACCACTGACTCGAGGCGGAAGATCGCCGCGTGGCTGTCCCTCCGGATACCAGGCCAAGTGGGCCTAGTATAGATCCCGAAAATAGTAGGATTCCCTTATCATACGGACGCCACGAAGGTACCCCTAATTCGGAAACCTCCAAGTTTGTTCATCGCCAGCTTGAGTGAATCGCAAATTGGCAAATTATAGGGTTCTTGGATGGGGGGGTTCATGGGGGGGGGGGGGTTAGGTACCTAGGAAGCAATAGGGAAGCTTAGGGAGCCTTAGAAGTGGGAATTATTGAGGAACATGGAGGAACCTTGGGTTACATACCCCCCTTGAAGCCCCCCCTCCCTTAAGAGCTCTATAAGCACAGGCACTACCCGCAGATGTCCTTTAAGATGGAGTTCGGGTTCCTACTGCACTTTATTGCTGTGGAGCCAGCATCATATCTTCAGCTGTTTTTATTTCTGTTGGCTGTGCCCGCAATCCAAACAAAGCCTTGAGCCAGACTTCACTTTAAACCCGTAAACCCGCTAACCCCTAAACCCCTAAATCCCTAAACCCCAACCCCTCAAACCCTAGACCCCTGCAGCCTAAACTCAGCCCTATCAAGCCCTAAACCCTAAAGCCTTAAACCCCCTAAAACCCTCAACCCCCTAAAGTCTGAACTCAGCCCTATACACCCCTAAACCCTACAACTCTACAACCCTATCCCCTAAAACCCCCCAAAACCGCTAAACCCCCTGGAACCCCCAAGCCCCCTGAGCCCCTGAAGCCCCTAAGCCCTCCAGAGTCCTCCTCGTCTGATGCTGATGCCGAGTCCGGGTCTGCCGCCATTGCTGGCTCCTCTACTGGCACTGGAAACAAAACCGCCTCTCCAGCCCGGTAGCGCGCGACTTCGTCTAAAAGGTCTGGGAACCAGGCATTCGCAGAAGCTGAAACCGCGTCTTGCGGCAACAAGGCTCCAAGCAGCGCCATGTCCTCTGATGAAATTTCGCCCTAAGCCTTAAAACCCCTAAAACCCCCTAGAACCCCCTAAAACCCCCTAACCCCCCTCAAGCCGCAGACCTCTGCTGGGCGAGCCTTGAGCAGCGTGCCGGGCAGCCAGTGGAGTCTGCGGAGATCCCTCTTGGCCAGGTGGGATCGGCGGGGGGGGCGGGGGGGGGGGCTACAGGGCCCACATGTTGGGAGGGTTGCGGGTTTAGGGTTTCGGGGTTTCCGAAATTCGGGGGGGGGGGGGGGGGGTACCCTTATTGGGGTCCGTTTACAAGGTGATCCTAATATTTTGGGGGTCTGTACTAGGGGTCCCTTATTTTCGAAAAGCCCCAACAAGGGTAGTTCTCTCTATATTAGGGTCCCTTTTGAGGGCCCTTATTGTAAGGGTGCTGTACTATACACGGAAGCCACAAAAGGGAACCTAACACAGAGATGTCGGTCAGCTACGGTTTTTCTTACCATTGGCTTGCGCTGGTGTCCAGACCCGACCATCTTATGGCTTATAAACCTTACATGGTGATATTGATCTAGCAGTATATGAATATATATATATATATATATACTAATGTCATATGAAGATACGAATATATCGTATTCTATTCGTATAGTAATATGATACTAGGTTATTTTCTCGAAAGGTGCTCCACGTCCGAAATACCGGCTTCATGCTCGAGCTGGTCATCAAGGCCCTGCACGTGCCGAATGTGAGGGGGGGGGGGGGGGGGGGGGGGTGGGGCGGGCGGAGTGTCCGACTGCATTCCTACATTCTTTTCGTCACTTTCGCTGTGTTTTTTTGTGTTGCTGCATTGCGCGTGTGTTCGTTTGCTTCGCCGGCGCTTTGCTCCCGGGGGCGGATGCTGCTTTAGCACCCGAGAGCCCGATTTTTGTAAGGAAACCTAAACTTAAACCTTGCCCTGACCCTATGAACCCCAAGCCCCTAGCTTGGTGTTTGCCCTAAACCCTAAACCCTAAACCCTAAACCCTAAACTAGTGGGGTATGATTGACGATTGGCAGAATGACGGCTTGCGCAGGACCAGCCGACTCTGCAGCTGGAGTTCGGTCTTGCCCCCAGCAAAGCCTCGTTTTTTTGGAGCATTTCATGGGGGACTGCGGTTGCTGAGGTTTATTAGGTATGATTTTTGGTTGCGATTTAAGTGACCTATACCTTTTTCCGGTTAAGGCCTACCAGGCTGCAAGTTTGTCAGCTTCTGGGTTGTGCGCTGCGGCTTCAGCCCTCAATCGTATGTGAAACCATGCCGGGGAAGACCTGGCTTTGGGATATGGTGACCATGTTAACCCTGAAGCTCTGGCATTGGATTACATGGGTACCTGATGAGGCATCTGATTCCTTCATTCCCTCATCTTACTAAGTGTTCGGTCAAAAAGGTTCAAAGGTTTCTTGTCTAGTAGCTTTATTGCAAAGGTAAATCATACACCATATGGCTAGAGGCTATAAGGACCCCGATGAAAAATCGCAGCAGCTTTTGCGCTGAAACCCTCAATCCTACACTCCTGTACAACGTCCATGTTCCTTCAAGCGCACACTGACAACTTGAGTATTTACTTTACATCAATGATTGCCTGAGGTCCTCTTATATAGACACTCTCTTACTGGACCTATAGGAACAGAACTTTACAATCACGGTTCTGATACAGCAGTGTGCATGTATATGTATATGTATATATACATAATCGTTTTTACCTCTACACAAAGTAAGTAACATGCTTTCGTTCATGCATCATCTGTAGGGATTCCAAGTAGCTTGCGGTACGAGGGACTAACGAAGTGGCAGCAGCATTCCTGAAGCGACTGTCGCTATCACAACCAATCATGGTACAATATATCCCCAACCCGAGTTCTAGCTACTAAGTCCATACAGTAGGGTTAGGGTTTAGGGTTTAGGGTTTAGTAGTTCAAGGGTACGGTTCAGAGGTTGAGGCTGTGTCGCTTCCTTACTCTTTGGAATCCGTGATAGAACCCTGCTATTCATTGTAATAGCCTTGATAGTACCTCTTTCATCCCCTATCGAACCAGTTTTTGAAGCCTTCTCTGACCTGGGAGTCGGCTGGGAGGGAGCCACTGAAGAGTTGCAAAGAGAGAGAGACCCTGAACCTTCAAAGCCCTCGGAAGTGCTAAGACCCTGAGCCCGCCAACACCTCCGACCGAGAGACAAGGAGAGCTCGACTAGAAAAAGGCAGAGAGGACAGCAAGCAGACATCCGCGGAACCTGCCATGGCAAGCTACCCTCCACCAGCTGAGGATGTGGAGTCAATCGTCACAGAATTGCATAAACTCTACAAGCGAAGGAGGTGGTTGCGTAACGAGTTCATGCAAGGCAGGTTGGTGGAAGATGGTGGGGGGACGAGCTGGAGGATACCATTCACCGGTCCCTAAGGCGACTGCGTACAGCAATGGCCGGCCAGCTACACATCCCGACGCTCAAGTTCGCCGTACAAAAGAGAGACCCGGGAAACGGATTCAGGAAAAGAGAACTCAATTCGAACCTTCAGACTATGTCGCTCACTGCTCATTCCGGGGTCAAGGTCGTTCGTATTCAACGGGGACCTGCCACCCTCATCGAGACGCCACGGCACGATGACTTCTTGAATCCTGGTAGAGGTTGCTAAAAAACAAAGCTTTTCCCCATCCAGCATATTTGTTGTTCACAGAAGTTCAGTAGAAGCAAGAGACCCCATCATGAACCTGCAGGTGATGTGTGCTGGGTGATTCCGATTGTGGCTGCTATAAAGGAGTTGACGGGTGATCTTGAACAGGACATGCTGGATGCTTTCGACGAATTCTACACGGTCACTGTGGATGGTGAGGACAGAAAAGTTTCCGTCAAGTCTGATACAGAACTTGGCAAGTTTCTAGACCTGTTTGCTGACGGAGGAAGGCAATGTGTGAAACTTGCTTGGCTCCCAGCGCACTGCTACGACTATCCTCACGATGCCAAGCCCGCAGCATTGTGCACCGAGGATCAGGCGAAGGTGTTGCTTGAACGCCTTAAGACGACACCGCAATTCTGTGATCGGTTCCTGGTGGAAGATGGTCAGGGGGCGGAGCTTCAGTTGCGAGTCATGAACATGCGCCGTACATACGGGGTCAGTCCCCTTGCGCTGTTTCATCCACCTGGGCTGCTTGAGATCCCTGAGCGGAAAACAACGATCGTCTTCCCGGGCACGCGCCTCGTCTTCCTGGTTTCAGCCCACGAACAGGTTGACAAAGAGTGCTGTCGATTGACCAGGTTGGAAGAGAACCAGCTGTTGAACATCGAACGGGTTCAGGTGTCCAAAGGCTTCACAGTCGCTTATCAGGAGAGCAGTCTGAAGGCGCTCCTAGACTTCACGATGGAGCTTGTAGTGCCGGGTCCGTCCAAAACCCGCAGGGCAAGAAGAAGTCAAGGCAAAAGAAAGAGGTGGAAACGTATTTTCGCGCTGTGTGCATGCGCGCTTTTGTTAGGGTTAGCCTTCCGACTTGCTTGGATTAAACACTTTGTTTGGTAGTGCTTGTGAAGTCTTGTGAAGGGATGTCAGCAGTGTGATCTTCCCGCGCTTCGCTTCGGACCTTTCAGCGCGAGGTCGGAAAAGGAGTGGCGTTGCTCAGTGAGTGGCCTTGTTTCAGATCTAGAGTTCAGGGCTGCCTTCTACAGCCTATAGAACACCCGCAAGACCCTGGAGGTTCAATGTTGGGGAGTTGATTTGCAGTAAGAGGCTTTAGATGTTGGGGCTTTAGCCCTCAAGCCCTCAATCCCGAAACCTCTAGACTCACCCTCTGCGGCCAGAACTCGCAAGATTGATCATCAACATGCCGGATCCAGGGCCTCCCCAGCCATGGTTTCCGAGCGGCCCCAAAACCCTAAACCCTAAACTTGAGAGACTGGGAGGCTTGTTCATGCTGTTGAATCGAAGGGTCATGATGGTCACCTCAACTTTGCGCGAAACTGGCCTTGATCTTGACAAGACAGCCGACTAGTTCTTAGCCGGGAATTCAGGAATGAGGTACCTTGTATGTCCCTATAGCCCCTTTTAGAGATTGCTAAGGGCGCCTAGTTCCCTGTTCCCTCATTCAGTACGAAGAACCAGAGAAAAATCTACGAGGAAATGGAGCTACAGGCACCCCCGACTCAATCTCGCATAATGCTTTCACGATACTTCACGGAGCCTCAAGGAAATGGGGCCCGCGGCGGCATTACGCAAAGCTACGTTGCACGGCAAGTCTCGGCAGGGTGAGGAATGATGATGTCATAAACTAACTAACCGGTTCATCTGTTCAGAACTCAGCGCTAACTCCCAACAAATTACAGTAACAGGTTCATCTGTTCAGAACTCAGCCCTAACCCTCGCACCAGCTCAAGGAACTGCCGAGGAGCGCACGGCGTGGGAGAAGTACTTGAATCTGGCGATGGAGGCCTTGATATATGTTAAGCAACCTGAAACCCTGAATCCTGACCCTAAACCCTAAGCCCTAAACTCTAAACCCTAAACCCTAAACCCTAAACCCTGCCAAGGGCTTGAGGTAAGGGTTTAGGGTTTCGCGTTCGGGTTCAGGCTGAGGCCCCATCTGTCGAGAGGGTGTCATGCCCCGGCAAACCTATACCGTGGAGTCGTGTTTCGGGCTTAGGGTCTCGCACAGATTTGCGGGGCTCTTGCTTGTTTTCGATCCTAAACCCTAAGCCCGAAACCCTAAAACACAAAACCCTAAACCGAGTTTTGTTGGGGGGCTGGGCAACCTCCCACTGGGTCACGGCTTCCGTAAAGAACTCTTTTCAGCTTATGTTAGGCAAGCTTTCCTTGCTTGTTGTCTTCGCGGCTTGTTGTTCCCGCGGGGCCAGTTTCTTGCTTTTTTGGGCTCCCCTATCAAGCAAAACATGAAACACACGCGCACACACACACACACAACAAGAACACGACACATCGAATGAGAAGCAGATACCCACAACAAATCTGGCCCATCCACCGTTCTGATGATTACAACTTAGTATGCTTATATGTTTCATACGATGAGATATACATAGATTCTTGATGATTCTGACTATGATTCTAATGGGTACTTTGGGGCCAGGCAGACCTTAAAGCATCCGGCAAAAGAGCCTCGCTGTTCTGTACCCGCCCAGAGAGGTGCTGGTTCCCGAAAGCGAGCGGGCTGAGCGGGATGCGGCCAAGGCTGGTTTAGGGTTGGGGTTGCGGGATGACCATACTCCCTGTACTGAACCCCTATATTGAAATAATCCTTATCAATGTTTCGGGTTGAGAGTTCAGGGTTTGGGGATCTTCCCTTTTCTAAAATTATCCCTATCAAGGGTATCTGAATCACAAACCCTTTCAGGGTTCGTAGGTGCTAAGGCTCATCAGCACGGGTTTAATTTGGGTGGTTTAGGCTTATGAGCTTCACAGGGTACAACGTGTTGAGATCTCGGTGTAGATGTTACCGTATGTCATCATGGGGGCTTAGCTGGATATTATCCTAAACAAGTTCGCTGACGTGATCTTTTTAGGAGGAATTTTAGGCAGCTTTTTCAAGTTTAGCCACGCGAGGTCTTCGGGTCCTAAACCCGAGACCCTAACTCACAATTCCACATCCCCAAAACCTCCAAGAAGCACCCCCCCCCCCCCCCCCCCCCCACCCCCCCCCCCCCCCCACCCCCCCCCCGTTGCAGGCGTCGCAGGCGTCGCATCGTGCACAAGAGGTAGAGGAGCGCCGGGCCCTGAATGAGGAGCCGGGCAAGAGTTTGCGGGGTTTAGGGTTTAGGATTCAGGCCTTTCGTGCAAGATTCAGTCGTTGAGCTGGCGCTCGCCGAGCTTAGGTTAACTCGGCTGTTGAATCTTGGAGTATTGTGGTTTTCACTCGTGAGCGCATTCGTACGCGACCGTGGATTTGGGCTTCAGCTCGCCAATGCTTGAGGTTCATTTTTTGTTCAGTTGCTTGACCCCCCCTTATACAAGTTGCATATGTATGATATATATATAGTATCGTTTATGATTTAGTCGAGCATTTTCCTGCTTAAGGGTTTCTTCTCAAGTAACGAAGTCAGGAAGTAAGTACGTCACAAAAACTCGAAGCTGCCATTTCGTAAGAAGGTCCATGGCACACAAGCCCGACGGTATACTATACATTCAATATTGTACATTGTTGCTGTCAGATACAAGGTAAGTAAGTAAGTAAGTAAGTAAGTAAGTAAGTAAGTAAGTAAGTAAGTAAAGCCTATAAAACCCTGGATACCCAAAACACCCCAGGAGCGCAAGAAGCGCCTCTCGGAGGGTCTGGGGATGCGCTTTACAGCCGAGGCACCGTTTGGGAAGTTTCGGGGGTTTAGGGTTTCGGGTTTCGGGTGAGGAAAGTTTAGGGGCTCAGGAAAGATGAACGGTCATAGGGTTTAGGAAGCTAAGTGCTGAGGAACGATAAAGGTTTAGGAGGTTTCGGGCTTTGGGGTTTTTAGGGGCTTGCTTAGCAGGGTTGTTAGGCTCTTCAAGATGAGAGGGTGTACTGGATCTGAAAGTTCAACGGCTCTAGAGCCCATGACAAATTTGTCTAAACCCTGAACCCTGAAACGAACGATTTGGGGACTTAGGATTTGGCTTGTGGACATGGGGTTTCGGAGGCTTCCGAGCCCTGGAGGCCCCGAAACGTGGGATAACGGGGGTTGTTTCGTTGTTTCTCCTTCCCTCTGTACTCGGAGCTGAGAATCCGCCTAGCTCCTGCTGTGCACCTGACCACAGCCCATGTCGACAAGCACAAATCAACTCCGTTGCGCGCGTCGCCACCATAGCCTCATTCGTCCAGCCCTCTCGCATATTGCCTCGAGCTCCCCCTGCCACTCCGTCTAACACTCAGTCCTGAACCTGGATGCCATAGGCTCTCTATCCATCCACCAGCACAGGTGAATGTTGGATTCTCGGAGACCTCGGTGTTTAGACCCAAAAAACCCTGCGCCCTACACCCGGAAACTTCGCAGAGTCAGCCGCCCCACTCATTGTCTCGGCCGGTGCCTCAAGCGCGCCGGCAGACATCGCGCCTGCATGCAGGGACAAGCATCAAGGGATAACAAGGGGCGAGTTACAAAAGTGCAGGCTCGGGCTAACAGGTTTAGGAAGATGAGTCAGCATGGCCTTTTTTTGTGTACCAAGCACCTTGACTGCCAACACACCCAGGCTGCCTGAACTCCCCCCCACCCCGCCACCGCCAAAAAGGAACCATCAAGCCCCAAACCCCACAAGCTCTGAATTAGTCTATAAGGTTGAAACCCTGCACTCAAATCTGTCAGGCGATGGTAGCCCGCGGCACGTGAAGAAAGGCCCATGGCCCATGACCAATTGAGGATTCGAGCTTCTCTGTTCACGGTAGGGTTGACTCAGGGCACGGTTTGAAGCACTTATATATGGCTCCGGTCAGTGTATGAGTGAAGCTCTGCACAGGGTGGGGCTTCAGGGCTCTGGGGCTGTTGGAGGGGTTCTGACGTCAGGAGTTTCGGGCATATCCAAACCCTTCTTGCCTGCGCCCAAAACCCGAAGACTGGACCAAGGCCCTTGAGCCCTAAACAGGCCGGTGGATGGAGTGAGGCTAGGAGGACATCCCTGAAGCCGTGCGCGGTAAAACCCTGAAGCCTTGACAACCCTAGAGCAACCCGATCCTACACAAGCCCTAGAGAAACCTTGCGCCCCAAACCCTACAAACTCTACAAACCCTATATTATAAACCCTGTAAGCCCTACAAACCCTACAGACCCTATAATCCCTACAAACCCACTCAGAACCCCCGCAAGCCCGATAATCCCCACAAGTCCTCTGAACCCTATAGTCCATACAAAAACCCTCGTGCCGGAGCCTTTCGCGCCCAGGTCCCGACTTGCTTCGCATGTGGGCAAAACAGGGCTTGAGCCGAAGGTCTGTGCTTCCGTTCAAGATAAGGGGGTTCAGGGGGTTTGGGGGTTTGGGGGGTTTACCAAAGGTTCAGGGTTTAGGGTAGGTAAGGGTTTGGGGGTGTTCGGGGGGGTTTAGGGTTTAGGCTCCCGTGAAAGTTTGGAGATTGCACACGCTCCCCCCTCCCCCCCCCCCCCCCCCCCCCCCCCCCCCCCCCCCCCCCCAAAAAAAAAAAAGTCCCAAAACCAGAGCCCAAACCCAAAATGGGCTGGATTGCGGCTCAAGTTGCAGCAAGGCTGCCAGACCAACAGCATGCAAGACACGCAAGCCTAAGAAGCTTGAGCACCTGAAGCGCGTGCTCAGACCAGCGCCTTGGTAGTACTGCTTCGGATCCTCAGCAATCACCGTCCGGGGGTTCAGGGTTCAAAGGCTTAGGGTTTTTGGGTTTTTGGATTTAGGGATATTTAGGGTTTTAGGTTTATTTTTTGGATTTAGGGATATTCAGGGTTTAGGGTTTATAAGGTTTGTTGACGGATCTTAAACCCCGGCTCTGACATGAGATCGTGACCCACTGGGGGGCCATGGCTTCGCTACAATGCGAACTCCAGGCCATCCTCCTCAGCCTGAAAGCGAACGCATGCGGGGGGGGGGGGGGAAAAATGGTGGTTTCCGAAATTGGGATACCTTATTGGGGTCCTCCTTACTAAAAGGGAATCCTATTTTGGGGGGTCTAGTTTAGGGGTCCCCCTTGTTTCGCAAACCTCCAAGTTGGGAAATACAAAAGGTTGTTATGCCCCAGAATGCAGTAAATCCATGCATGGCATAAAAGGGGCACGGCATACAAGGGTACCCCTAATCGACCCCCCTCCCCCCCAAACCGTAACCCCAAACTTCAATCCCTAAGCCCTGAATCCTCAACTCCGAAACCCTAAACCCCAAACCCCAAACCCCAAACCCTAAACCCTAAACCCTAAACCCCTCTCGACCAGGCCGCCGTCTGACGCACTCGCGCGACTCTGCGGAGGACGCCCAGTGGGGTTCTCTATGCCCCAAGCATCCCCAAACCCCTCAACGAAGAAACTCAGCCTAAAGGTTTAGGGTTTAGGGTTTCGGGTTTAGGGTTTAGGGTTTAGGGGGTTCTTATAACTAATTACCCCCCGCCCCCCCCTCCCAAACGTGAAGCCTAAAGGTTCCGAGGTTCCTCAACCCTCAAACCCCCAACCCTCAACCCTCAACCCACCTGAACCCCCAACCCTCAGCCCTCAACAGGTTTAGGGTTTAGGGTTTAGGGTTTAGGGGGTTCTTATAACTAATTACCCCCCCTTTGGAGGACTTCCAGGCTGAAGAGGCCCCGATCGATGAGCCTCGGCCGTCCGCCAGGGACGCGCAGCGGCCCTGCAGGGGCCCAAGCCTGGGTCTCCTCATACGCTCGGTTTAACTTTGTCATAGTTGGGTAACATTTTACATTTTTTAAGGGTGCTTAAACCCAATACTGTAAGGAAGGAAATTTTTGGTTCTTAATGTTATCCCAACAATGAACTAGTTTAGGGAAGGGTTCTTCAGGGTGTTTTAGGGGCTTTTACAGGGGCTTCACAGGGGCCTCAAGGGATTTGGAGGTTTTTTGGGGGTTTGGGGCTGCGCGCTGTCCCCGTACCCCTTTCAGCCCCTTAAGTCCTGACATCGCCAAGGCGTGCTCTTGGACCGCGCCTCCTTGTGGGGCGCCGTGTCGCGCTTTGGGCGTTCGCCCCGCTGCTCGGACTCGGACTCGGAGGTTGAGGCAGAGGTCCCCGCCTCCTTTAAAGAGGAGCCGGTGTGGGAGACCAGGACGCAGGAGTATGGCTTGGAGGATCCCAAGGAGCTGGCCTTTGACCTGTCTCCCAGCTTCTGCAGCAGCCTGGGAGCGGACCCGGGCAGTAACCAGGAGACCGCGGAGGACTTTGAGTCCCACTCTGCGCTACAGGCGGAGCCCGAGAGTCATGAGCAACACAGGGGCCAGGCCTTGCCAATGTGTGTAGAGCAGCCAAGCTACACTCCAAGCAAGCCTGAAGGGGGGGACCTGGCGTCTGCTGTGGACATGTTAGTATCTCAGCCCCGATATGCCTTTCAGAGCCCAGACGATGCGCAAGCGGCGTGCGAAGTCGAGGCAGAGACCGACGCTGCTCCGGAAAGGCCCGGCCCGATTATTCCAGAGACCGATATGCCCATGCCAGCGTTCCGGGGTCGGAATGCTGACCGGTCTATTCAGTCTATTCGCGGCGAGATGCCTGACCTGCACCTTCACGGTGATGCCTTTGTTCTCAGCAACCCGCTGAGGGACGAGATGTCAGCTCCTCACTGCATGTTTGGACGATCGCATGTTAATATCCTGGCTCGCCCCGAGTTCTTGCATGGCCCTTACAGGATTCGCCGGTCGGAGTCTGCACCCAACTTCATGGTCCTCATCGGCCGGGGTAACTGCGTCGCCAAGCCGGCCAAAGGAGCTGGAGCGACCATGGAGCCCGCGAGGATCAGTGGAGCTAGCGCTGCTTCCCGCAGTTCGTCGCTGTGGGATGTTGACAGCACCCAGTCGCTGAGCCCCAGAGCACAGCCAGCGCCGCCTGCGGCACAAGACCCGCCGGCCAGAGCCAGCTGTGCCAGGGATGCGCAGGCCGGGTTCTTCCGAAACACCTCGTTGAACTAATACTGATATAAGATGCCCAGCCGTAGTGCCTGTAAGATTCCCCGTCTTGCGAAAAAGGGGCCCATTTTGTTCCAAGGCAGCTGCTACCCTTGAGCCCCCAGACTTAACCTCGAAGCCTGAACTTGTGGGGCCATGGAGATATTTTGTATATTTCTATTTTATATTTCATTTTACCTGGGTTTGGATGTACCCCCTTATACTAACAGTTACTCTCATCCCGATTAAGGACTGTTAGTATAAGGGAGAACATCTCAAATCTTGGTTAGTAAGTCCGGTGGGCTTTACAGTGACACGGGCGTCCGGGGAGGTTGAGCTCGAGCTAGCGCACGAAGCGATCGAGCACGACCCGGAATGCCTAGAACTTCCCCGAGAGGACCTCCACCCTGGGATCTGTCTCAGGCTTCGGGGTTTGGGGTTTGGGGTTTAGGGTTTAGGGCTTAGGGCTTAGGGCTTAGTAGGGTTAAGGCGGTTAAGGGCTTAGGGGTGAATTACGGCGGTAGGATTTAGGATTAATGGCTTTCGAAGCAATGCCCCAAAGCGCCTAAAGCCAACATCTGCCAACGCTTGCCAGGAGGCTTCGCCCAACTCTCTTTCCCCAATGGACCTGAGGTCTGGCTCCTGGTTTTTTTGTTCACATCTGGATGCTTTTTCTTTCGGTTTGTGTAGGGCTGAGGCTTGAGAGGTTTAGGGCTCATGGCTGTTTTTCCTTCTTTTTTTTTGGGGGCGGGGGGGGGGGGGGGGGGAGATCGGTGGCGCTTCAGTTTGAGGGGGTTTAGGAGCTTGAGGGGGTGACAAAGATCAGGGTCGAGCTTATCAGCTTGGACGCCCAGTGGCAGCTTTTTTGGGAAATGTAACCCGTTTGTGTTTGTCATCGCCATGAGGAATTCCGAACTTTTGGGCTCCGCCGAAGCGCCTCTGCTTCTTTCAGGGGTTCGGTGATTGGGTGATTGGTTTCGTCACCAAGGTGCTTCGGAGTTCGCCTCAAACCCCTAAGCCCTTTGAGATTTGCAAGTTTAGGTGTGTTCGGTGCAGTGGGTTGAGAGTTCAAGAGTTCTCGACCCGAACCTTGAAGCCAAAACCCTAAACTCCAAACCCCAAATCCCAACCCCCAACACCCCCTCCACTCCCAACCCCGAACCCCTCAACCCCACACCCCTTAAACTCCTAACCCACACCCAACCCAACCCCAAATCCCCTCCCTCCAAACTCTTGGCGTCCGGAGGTTGCTGGACGAGGCCTGTGAAGCCTCACCTTCTTCTTCGGCCTCGCCGCCGCCCCGCCGCTGCTTCGACCTTCGGCGGCAGTTTTGGGCAAGTTGCATAAAGCCTGGCAAGCTGTAGGTTGGGTTTACGGGTTTTGGGTTTTGGGGTTTTGGGTTTTGGGGTTTAAACGGTAAACTTGGTAAACGGTTTGGGTTTTCCTCGTTGGGGGGCAGCCTGGTTGAGGGACCTGAAGCGCCTTCATGGCCATGGTACGTGAAGATCTCCAAACATGTTCTGACATGTTGAATCTCCACACTGTTGGACTGCTTCTTATGTTCAATGTCCCTAAACCCCAAACCCGAAACCCTAAACCCTAAACCCTAAACCCTAAACCCTAAACCCTTATAAACCCTAAACCCTAAACCCTAAACCCTAAACCCTAAACCCTAAACCCTAAACCCTAAACCCTAAACTCACACCACCAAGATCATCCCCAGCAAGCGCCATTGCACCACATGGCCTTAGACTAGGACCCGGCGTGGGCCCCCTTTTTTTCCTTTTTATAGGGTTGGGGTTCCCTGATACTCCCCTTAAAACCAAAGGGGTACCTTTTTTTATTCCTAGGTTATTCCTTCTTTATAGGGTTGGGGTTCCCTGATACCCTTTTTTTAATTCCTAGGTTACTCCTAGGTCCGGAGCTTGGGTCAGGCCTGCATGCCGTGGAGAGCTACGGGCACAAGCAAGAAGCCCGACAGTACGCGGACACCCAGGAAGGCAAGAGCTGGGGTTTCGGGGTTAAAAGGTCCTAAACTCTAAAACCCTAGACCCTGAATCCTAAACCCTAAATCCTTGAACCCTAAACCCTAAACCCTAAACCCTAAACCCTAAACCCCAAACCCCAAACCCCAAACCCCAAACCCCAAACCCTAAACCCAAATCCTTGATTCGGGCTCATCGTTCGACCCTCAGCCCCTTCTAAGACCCCAAGCAGCCCCCCTTCCAAACCCCGCTGTCAACCCTTAAGCCGGGCACCCGTGCATTGAACCACCTCGGCTTACCCTATAAACCCTAACCCCCAAGACGTAAATATGGCCCATACTCCGTATAAACCCCGAACCCTATACACCCGAAACTCCATATAAACCCTATACACCCTATAGACCCCGTGTAAACCCAGAAGCCCGTTCGGTCCCAGTCTGTGCTTTGTATGGGGGGGCCAGTAGAGACATCCAGCAACTCTTCCCCTTTGCTTTTGCATGCTTTGACCAGTTATATACTTATCAGGAGGCTCCATAAACAAAGGAACCTGAATTTGCAGGAGAGTATCTTTGGCCGCTAGAACCCGAAAGAGACCAGAAGGGTTCGTAATGACAATCGCAAGAATCTCGCATTGGAACTTCCCTACAATTCGGCTGTACTCAGAGAATCTCTCGATGTAGGTTTGGCGGTCTTGCGCGTGTCCACGTTTGATCTCGCTGCTTCAGGCTGGGTGCTGCAGAAGCTGATGGCCACAGGCACCACGCGAAGTAGCCTCTGGCGCCTTGCTTGGCATCTCTAAGCCCTAAACCCTTAACCCTTAACCCTCAACCCTAAACCCAACCTCTAAGGGGCCCTAAACGCCAAGAAGCTGTGTCCAGACTCCCGCAACGACGCCGTGTACATTACCTAATCCAGGCAGTTCTCTAAATCTTTGGGCCCCTTCCGGTGGGCCAAGCTGCGCGCGATGTTCCGCACAGCAGAGGGACCACAATCCTGGAAGAACCCTATAAGCCCAAAACCCTAGAAACCCTAAACACTATAACTACAATCTCTAAAGAAACCTGAAGGAACACTATAGTCCCTAGACCCGATGATTTAATCTTTACACCCTAAACCCTAAACCCTAAACCCTAAACCCTAAACCCTAAACCCCCAGATTAGAGAACTGGCCTCAGTGGAGCAGGGTTGGCCCTGACCCAGGGCTTCGGCGCTTAGGGCTAGAGTTTGCGGGGCAACGGCCCTTAGCAAGTTAGGGTGTAGGCGTTAGGGTTTTGGGTTTAGGGTTTGGGGTTTGGGGTTTGGGGTTTGGGGTTTTGAGGCTCAAGGCTGAAGGGCCAACTTAGCAAGAGGGCTAAGAAGACCTTCTGCCCTAAACCTTGGATCCAGGGCCAACTCTTTTCCAGTTTCAACCGTTCCGCTGCTCCGCTGCTATTGGCGAGCCCGAAAAAAGTGTGGCTTAGTGCTGTTTTTTGGGGCCAAAGCTGGAGGTTCAGCATGTAGTAGAATATAGCATAGGTTTAGTAGGACTGAGGGTTTCTCAGGCATTGCAACCAGGGTAGCATCTCATGATTCCAGGTCGCATGGACGGACTTTGCTGTGTCGCTGGGGTTCGTGCACCTGGGGAAGCCGATGTGTAGGGCCACCGGCAAAAGAGAGCATGAGAATTGTTCTATACCAGGGTCCCCTTATCAGCGCCCCTTTAAAACGGTATCTCTTGCCCCGTGCCAAAGGAACCCGGATCCAGAATTTAGAGCAACCAGAGCAACCCCCCGTGGGCCTTGCAACGCTTTATCCGCGTGCTTTGAGACTTACGGCTCCAGAAGCAAAAGGTTTGAGCACGCATCATTCAGCAAAACCCTAGGGTCCAGTCAGCTGTGGAAAGCACCGGCAGCGCCCGCAGACAACGCCTTGCCATGGCCACTGCAGATGCTGCCGGCCCCGATGGCCAGCCAAAGCCGGCTGCCGGGGACCGGGGCTCAAATCTCGGAGAGCGCGCTATAGTAGAATTCAGGGTGGTTTTGGGCTTTAGGCTTTGGGTCCCACCATCAGGCTCCCAAATTTGGCTAAGGTCTGGGGGGCCTAACTCCGTCCAGCCTCCCGTGTGCCGCTTGCAGGATGTCATGCACGTCATCGGCCACGGCCCAGCCATCCTCCTGGAGGCCAGGCGAGCAGTTTCGGAAGGTTCGGGGTTTCCGGGGTGAATGCCCTAAGCCTGGGAGACGTTAACGTTCTTCTTCGGCGTGCCTCAGTGGCATGATGTCCACCCTCCACAATACAGAGCATCTTAGAAGCACCTGGCATGGTTCCCAGACGCAACCCCGCATGACGCCGGTGGCTGAGCAAGCAGCTTAGGTCGTCATGAGTGGTGCCGACATCGTGGCCTACAAGGCCAGCGGCTGCTTTCCAGAAAGCCCGTGAAGCCCTTAAAAGCCCTGAAAAGCTTCTGGCCCTCACTCCTACACTCCGAACCCTCAATGATTCTGCACCCCATTCCCTGCCAACCCCCCAACACAAGATGGTTTGCAGAGTGTTTGCACTGTCCAGCATGCAGACCATCAAGATTTCAGAAATGTGCTTTGGGGGGGTCATAAACGCAAATTTGCATTTTTGACCCCCCCCACACCCGAAAAAGTGGGAAATCTAAATGTGTAAAAAGTTGTTCTTCCATGTGTTTTGGGCAATGTTTACATACTTTGGGGGTCCAGGACACCCCTACTGTTTGGGATCCGAACTGCCAGCAATGGGCCAGTTCTTTAAATTTAGGTCCTTTGTCGGGTCCTATAGTACCAGCCCTATATTTGGGCACCATGCTACATAGTATACCAGTCACTCTATTTAGGGCGCCATGGTCTGGCTGTTCCTCTTCCCATTCCCATGCTTATGTCGAGTTTAGACAGTTCCATGCTGTCCTTGGGTTTGCATATTCCGGCATATTCCGAGGTTCGGCAGCACAAGCTCTCAAAGTTCCTCTCTGCATCTGCCAGGTGAGATATCCCGATGGCACGCAGGACCTGGAACAGTTACCGTAGCGAGCTGCTGGAGCCCTGAGGTTTGTCGACTCTCGACAGGCGGTGTGACCTGGCACCGCCTTCAACCCTGGCCCTGAATCCTAAATTGCCCTGCTAAGCCCCGGGCAAGCGCAGAAAGCCCTGAACTCTATAAACCCCAAACCAACAACCCCAAAAAAACGCCCTCTCAGCCCGAAGCGCCCTAAGCCCTCTTAATCTTCCGAGCGCAGGACAGCGTCATACCCGAGAAGGCCTTGCTCTGCGAGCGGAGGAAGGACGAGACGGTCGTGGGGTGCTCGGCTCCAGGGCGCTGAGGCCCTGAATGCAGAATAATAAACCTTAAGCCGGAAGCCCCTAAACCCTAAACTGTGAGCTTCACACTTTCAACCCTAGCCCTAAACCCTCCCTGAGCTTGATGAGCCTTGCACCCTGAGATCCCTGAGCCCCAAACCCGGAACTCCCCCTCGCCCCCTCAACTTGGGAGCACTCTGAACCCTACAAACCTCCTAAGCCCAACACCTTCGCCGCATCCGCCCCTCAACTGCCAAGGGCAGATCCTCCAGCAGGAACTCGCAAGGACCACCTTCCAGTTTGTTGTGTAGCTTGGTTCTGCAGGGCTTTGGGATCTCCGAAAATTGGGCTCTCCTTAAAGGGGGGATTATCGTGTTTTCTGGGTTCTATAACGGGAGTTCCCCGATTTGGGAAATGCCCATCTAGGATTGTTGCTTGAGAGGATCACGTGTGTAGGAAGCTTGTTCAACTCTAAGCCCTACACCAACTGTCCCCTAAACCTACTTGGCTGCTGTACGGGTCTGAGGAGGACAGGGGGTCTGGATGGCTTTTAGGATTTAGGGTGTGAGGTTTAGGGTTTAGGAGGCCAAGGGACGTTTAACAAGTCTCAGGGCGGCGAGGTTTCTCAGAGTTGGAGGGTTTACTCATGAAGCTTTGGCTTCACGGAGCTGAGAGGCTAGCGAGCAATTCACCCTAAACCCTCTTTTTTTGGGGGGTCGTCTCGATATCCCAAAACAGGGTCCCCCCATATATGGTCCAGTGCTCCCCGGCCCCCCCCTCCCCCCCCACCCCATGGTCTGGAACCCCCCCCCCCCCCTGTGGTGTGGTTGGGGGTTGGTTTTAGGGTTTAGGGTTTAGGGTTTAGGGTTTAGGGTTTAGGTTTTGGGTTTAGGTTTTGGGTTTTGGGTTTGGTTTTGGGTTTAGGGTTTAGGGTGGTTTTAGGTTTAGGGTTTAGGGTTTAGGGTTTGAAAGGTTTTAGGGTTAACCCCCCCCCTTGTGGTGTGGTTGGGGGTTGGTTTTAGGGTTTAGGGTTTAGGGTTGGTTTAGGGTTTAGGGCTTGGGGCTTGACAGGGTTTAGGGTTTAGGGTTAGAGACCGTAGACCTGGAGGGGGAGGGGGGGGTAACGCCTCACACACATAGGTTTTCCCGAGGGCGTGCTCCCTCAACCCAAGGCACAACACTCACAAAACACGGGTTTTGCCGAGGGTCGGCCCCCCCCCCCCTACCTGACCATACCATTGGGGGGGGGGGGGGGGCCGGACACGCCAGACGCCGGACCATATATCCCAAAATGCTTTATTCTTTATAGGAGGAGCCCCCAAAAAAGGGTACCTCTTTTTTTGGGGTCGTCTCCATATGGGCGCCGTAGGGGTCGCTCCTTTGCACGGCAGGTGGTAGCGGTACAGCAAGGGACCTTGATGGCTCTCTTGCTTCCAAGAAGCTACAACTTGGGATGTTCCCCCTTATACTAACAGTCCTTAATAGTACCCCCTCTTCTACTCCCTATGAAGGACAGTTCGTTTTCGGGGGAACATCCCAAGCTACAACCTTACAGCCCCTGAACCCTCTACAAGCTCGACGAGGCAGATTGCTCTCGGCCCCCTCCGTCCCTAAGAAGCCCGGTATGCAACAGGGTTCATACTACTGTTATCGGTGAGTGTATATAAGGGTTCCTTTTAAATCTTGTTGAGTGTATCTACCTGGTGTCCTTTTGGGGGCACAAGAAATATATACCCTACTTCATACGGGTGGTTGTCAAAATTATGGTCCCTTTTTGGGTACCCTAAACCCTAAACCCTAAACCCTAAACCCTAAACCCTAAACCCTAAACCCTAAACAACCACCCATATGGTGGCTGGTGCCAGGCGGGCCCTCACGGGATGGCTGCGAAAGCCAAGGCCACAGCCCCCGGAAGCCCTAAAACCGGTTTAGGGTTTAGGGTTTAGGGTTTAGGGTTTAGGGTTTAGGGTTTAGGGTTTAGGGTTTAGGGCCTCTGAAGCCTTAAACCCAAGAGCCCGGTTAAAGGGCCCTAAAGCCCGAAACTGGGAACCTGAACCCCATACAGCCCAAAACCCCGAATGCCTTGAACTAAGCCCACATTGGCTTAGATAGGTCTTAGCAAAGTTGTAAGCGGTTTTTGGATATGGGTTTGTGTGTTTTGGGGGGGCTCAGGTTTAAGAAGGGCACACGGGTTGCACACCCACGAAACATACCCCGTAACATACCCCCGAAACAAACACCGTAACATACCCCCGAAATTGCAGGTAAAGTAGCTCATGATGCCGCCCAGCATACCCGAAACATACACCCGAAACATACCCCGCGCCCTACCAGCGAAACATACCCCGACCCCAACACCTGTCGCGCGCCTCCCCAGAAAATACAAACCCATATGTCTAAAGTTTCGCCCTAAACGCCCCAAGCTCCCCTGAACCCCAAACCCTGGAAAGCCCACAGCAACCCTGAGCCCTACCCTAAGAACTTCATAGAACCCGAAAGCCCTCAAAGTGTCAGAAACCCAAACAAACCCCCAAGAAGCCCTAAACCCTAAAACCCGAAAAGCCCTCTTGAAACCCTAAAGCCCTAAGAAACTTCCGAACATGTCCGAACCTAAAACCCTAAAAGCCCTAAGAAACCCTAACGCAGTCCAAAATCTCGCCTAAAACCCAAAAACTCCACTCCCTAAACCCCAAAACCTAAAACCCGAAACCCTAACTGCCTGGACCCATGAACCCTAAACCCTAAACCCTAAACCCTGAACCCTGAACCCTGAACCCTAAACCCTAAACCCTAAACCCTAAACCCTAAACCCTAAACCCTAAACCCTAAACCCTATCGAGCTCACTCTCCAGGCCTCGCTTCTCAGGGCTCTTGCGACAACCAGCAACCGCTGGCCGAGAGGGAAGGTGCTCCCGGAGAAAAAAGGGGGTTTAGGGTTTAGCGTTTAGGGTTTAGGGTTTAGGGTTTAAGGTTTAAGGTTTAAGGTTTAGGGGGTTTAGTGTTTGGGTTTGCAGGGCTTGGGTTTGCTTTAGGGGTTTGGGGTCTTGGGTTTAGGGTTAGGCTTCAGAAGCCTTTGTTGAGGGAGTTGAGGGATCCAGGGTTTGAAGCTCGGAACGCGTGGCCAGGAAGCAGCAATCTTCCCATGCGACGCCTGTCCGCCCGGCAAAGTTTGGAGCATGGTGGAGCCAATAAAGCTAGGATGCCCAGTAGTACCCTTATTCCCTTTTTGGGGGGTTTAGGTTCCCTTATAAACCCCTTTAAGCAAAAAAGGGCACCCTTTTTAAGCCTTGGATACTGGGCAGCCTAGAAAGCGACCCCAAACCCAAAGATAGTGGGCCCTGGAGAGCCACTGGCACCCCCTAAGAGTGTGGTTCGTCCTTGAATACACCTTGAGCCCTAAACCCTTATAAACCCTAATCCCGAAACCCTAAAACCCGGAAACCCTAAAACCCTAAACCCCCAAACCCTAGAAATCCCTAGACATGAAGGCTGGCGAGCCCGCGGGGGCCACGTCAGTTGGAGTACCTGGGGCGCGCCTTCGATGACGAAAGGCCGGGCTCGGGCTGGAGTTGGGGTTCCTCGTGGCCCAAGACCCCTCAGTTCAGATACATAATTACCTAACACGAAATGAATTAAAGTATAGAATCCAATTACATATATATATATACACATGTATGTATATATATATATCTCTCTCTCTCTCTCTCTCTCTCTCTGAGTTAGGGGTATTGGGCTCTTTGGGTATCAGGAAGAGGTGTGTTCAGGATGACGGTTATTGCGCTGGGCGTTGCGAAGATGCATCAGAATGTCTATTGCCGTCCTGGCTTGTACTCTCCTTGTATCAGTATCCTAACATTTCACCTGCTGCACAGTCCAGCCTCTGAAGGCCCTGATCGTATGTACAGGCTGCAAGGGTTCGTGCAAGGGTTCGTGGGACTGGAACTCCAGGCGCAACATCGCAACTCCATCTGCCACTTTTTCATTGGCCCCGCGCCGAGAGGACTGTGCTGGAATCGGCGCGATTTGCGTTACACTTTCAGAGTGCGTTTGGGAGTTATTATCGGTTCTATGCTGAATCCGTTGCCCACCTGAGTCTGAGGTTGCCACAATGGTCGGTCAGATCCTCAGTACTGTTTCCAGACACTTGGTCTGGCAGCCGCCACACGAGCATCGGAACCTGTCCTGCCCCCTAAAACATAAAGTCCCGTGCCGCACGCTAGCCTATATGCCCTAGAAACCCTAGTAGCTTGTGACTCCAGCAAACCCTGAAACCCTCTAGGCACTCTAAAACCCTACAAAACCTGGAAAACCCTGAAGCCCCTGAACCCTACTAGACCCTCAACTACTTTCGGCCCCAGACTTCCAGGCCTCAGGTAGACTGTGCAGCCAGTGCCCAACATGCGCTTCGCAGTCTGGGCCCTCCTTGTCGCGTCCGCAAGAGCCGGTTGCACGGTGGAGAGCCTGAGCCGCCAAAAGTGCTTAGGGTGTTTACGCGGTAAGGGCTTCTAGGGCACATACCCTTAAGAACTATGAACTGTGCTTCTGTTTTGCCTCTTGAAACCCCAAGAGCACTCAAACCCTCAAACCCTAAAACCCATCCCGCGTCGCGCGTAGCAAGGCCCACAGACCTCACAAAACAGCCCTCGAAGCCCCAACAAATCCATAACACGAGTCTGCGATCCCTTGCTTTACCGCCCTGAAGAGCATCCCAAAGCCCCAGACACACTAGGACCCCTTCCTCCCCTTCTTAGTTCTTACTCGCTTCCCCTTACAATATCCCTTCTTGAAACCCCAAAAAAGGGCGCCCTTTTGGGTTCCTACGCCACTCTTGGGTCTCGCACAACCAGCCCACCCAAGGAAGGGTGCCCCGGCCTGCTATGTGGACAGCCAGACGAGGATCCTGGGTCATGACAACGTGGCCTTGGGCACCTGGGTAGACTCTGGGGATATTTTATGTAGTTTCCTTTCTTGGGTGGTACATGGTGGTACTTGGTATTTAGTGGTTTAAGAGCCTTGTAGAGGATCTTGTTCAAGAATTGCTTCGCTTGCTCAGGAATCATGTTTCATGAGGTCTCTCATATTGAATTTAAGGGCCAGCCTAGGCCCGATCACTCCGCAGTACTGCGCGCAGCTGTGCGCGAACGGCAAGTTCGCGCTGGCCGGCACGGAGTTTGGGTCGGAGTGCTACTGCGGGGACGCGTTGAACACGCCGACCCCGCAGAAGTCCGCGAATTGCAGCACGGCCTGCAACGGGGATGGCCAGCAGCAGTGCGGAGGCTATTGGTCCATCGCCGTGTTCAAGGTGAACTGCTCGGGTTCGCCCGAGCCGCCGCCCAAGGGCCCGCCAAGGCTCGTGAACCTAGGACCCGGAGTATGAACCCTTATCTCCTTTTTTCAGGGTTGGGTTCCCTTGTATTCCCCTTGAAGCCCAAATGGGGTAGCCTTTTTATTCCTAGGTTACTTTTCGCTCAAGGAACCCATGCCTCGGCGACACGAAGTTCTCGAAGATGCCCTTCTGCAACGCCTCCCTGGCCATCGACGAGCGCGTGGCGGACGCCGTGAAGCGCATGACCCTGAAGGAGCCGGTGTGGCGTCGTACATGCCACAGAGCACGGTGGTGCACTAAAGTCGATTAAAGTTAAACTTCTGAACCCCTGCATCCCGGAAGCAAACGCTTTGAGGTTGTTTGGCTGATGTCTGGGGTGTAGGATGTCTTCAAGTGTGTATAGTTGCAGGGCTCGGGTAGTGAGACCGCTTCGCCTTTTGCCGCCCTCGGTGCTTGTCATAACTCTAAATGGGGGTTTACGAACATTAGGGCCCCTCCCCAGTAGCGCGATTCAGTACGATCCCATTGTAATATGGGCCCCAATGAGGTACCCCGGTATCGTAAACCCGCAAATGTGCAGGAGAAGATCGGGGCGCTTGGGACGGACACCCCGGCCATCACCTCTCTGGGCCTGCCAAGGTACAACTGGTGGTCCGAGGCTTCCAGTGGGGTTGCGGATGCTGGGAACTTGCAGACCACCAAGTTCCTGGACCATAGTTGGCAACAAACATCAATCCAAGCTGATCTGTTTTCATGGGGGGGCCCTCAGTATGATATGCTTAAGAGTAACCCTAAACCCTAAACCCTAAACCCTATACACCCTAAACCCCCAACTTTAAACCCTAGATGGCCCCGGGAACGGTTGAGGTTCCCTTACCCCATCACCACCGGCATGAGCTTCAACCGAAGCCTTTGGACGCTGGTGGGCCGCCAGATCGGCCGGGAGGCACGCGCGGCGATGCGCCCCGGACCCCATGAGCTGATAGGGTTTAGGGTTTAGGGTTTAAGGTTTGGGGTTTAGGGATTAGGGTTTAGGTCTATAGGGTTTAGTGTGAATGATCCCCGAACCACAGCACGTTTTGGGGACCCCTTTGTGTCGGCTCCGCCGCACATCGGGGAAACCACATTAGAACGCCGTGGCCTGTTCACCACATTGGCTCAAGAACCCTTAGAGTGAAGGTCACCCATAGGTTAGAAGTAAGCGCAATAGCGTAACTGGAAACCGCCCGGGTGCACGAGACGGAGACGGAAGGCGAACGCCAGTACAGAAAACAAGTGCGAGACCATTTGGCTGGTGAGGAGCCAAAGCGTAGTGCAAGCAACTACCCGACCTCACGCAGGTTATCAGCCGTATAGCGGTTGCGATTTCTTGCGACTACTGTACGGGCTGAGCTATGGCACTGCCAACCTCGTCGTCGAGTGCCGACACAACCATGACCTTCGGTGATGGTGATGCTATTGCTGCACCTGCGTTGGGCGAAAGCACAGGCTGCGCCGACACAGATGCAGTTACGTCATCAGATGACGCTGTTGAGATGGTTGCGGTTGCGAAGGCACCCGCTAGAACTAGAAGTGGGTTGAGCGTGTTACGTGAAGATGGAAACTCGAAGATGAGTCAAGTTTCACGCCTCAGATCCACTTCCAGACCATCATCGGAACGAACATCAAAGAGATCCAACACTCCAAGTACTCCACGACGAAGAAGAGGTACTTCTCCACGGATCTCTCCACGATCCTCGCCGGACGCCGGACGACCGGAAACGTCACCGCGAAGAGGGTTCGGTGGCCCTCTTTTGGGTACCGGCCTCCCCAGTTCGGAACCTCCGGCTGGCGGTAGGGGCGGGCTTGATTCGGGTCCCCCGGTCGAGTCTGCTAACCCTCTAGCGGAACGAATCCGGGAAGAAGGCGAAAGGCGGGAGATGGAAGAGGTCATTGCCATGTTGCGACTGAAGATTGAGGAGATGCAACAGGAAGACTATGGGGCATCACTCAGGATCGAGCAGCTAGAACGCGAACGTGATCAAAACGCGCAACTGGCAGCCCATATCCACCAACGTCACGAAGCTACACTCGCGGAACGTGAGCAAGTCGTTGGCGCCACGATCGCAACACTGGAGCAACATGCTGCCGACAATCATCACCAAGCAACGATGACTCAGGAGCAGTTGATGCACCAGCAACGCGAGATGGCGCAGTACATGGTCAACGTGGAAGAAGCGGCCCATGGTGAAGGAAACACAATAGCTCGAGAATACCAGCGACTTACCGAGGAGCTGAACATTCGAGCACATGAAAATCTGAGAAGGCGAGCCGATCTACAACAAGCCGAAGTTATTGTGGCTCAGATGGAAGATCAACTGCGAACCTCCGAGTTTGCACATGAAGCATCCGAAAGACAGAAAAGTGAGATGCGAGAATATGCTCATCATGAGAGCGTGGCATTACAGGATGAACGCGATCAAACCAGGCTCTTGAATGTGAACATTCATGGCGTCATCGTTCAGTACCACGAGGAAGAAGAAAGAGCGACTGCTTTGAGACAAGCCGTGCACGAAATGGAGCAGCGATGGGAAAGCCAACATGCTTCGTTGCCCAGCATCCATCAGGAGCTGCAGAGGGTACGAACGGAATGCCAATCTCATGAAGACATCAATCGACGACTGACGTCAGAACTGGATGCTGCGAGACAGGTTCAAACGTACAACCGACCTACGTCAGCCGGAACGTCTGAGTGGGATAATGTTTCTTCTGTGCCTAGGGTAGGTGTGCATAATTCGCGTCCACAAAGCGTTCAATCCCGTTCGGGAATAACCCAAGCCTACAGCAGTCCTGAAGAAGTTGATCACGACGTACCAATGTCATCTACGACGGAGTCAAGGTTCAAGACATGGGTCCAGAACACCATTCCAGGGATGGGTTCGGCTTCGCCGGCTCATACCCAGGGTGGAGGTGCCTCGAAGGAGGGTTCGGGTCCCCCGGCTCTTCCCACGAGGCCATCGTTGTTCGGAGGACCGCCCATTCCAGTGACAGAAAGCCGACCGACTTCTACAAGGACATCGCTGTTTGGTGGACCTCCTGTTACCGTTCCAGGAAACCCATCAGTTCCTAACACGGTTCCGGGAAGGGTGTTCGCAACAGGTTTGCTGGACCTACCTCCTGGCTTGGCTACCAGACCATACACCTCACAGTTGCTTGCTGATCCACCTAAGGCGTCCACGTCATATCAGTGTGAACGACAACCATTGCGTTCGCAGCATGCAGGCGAGATGACGCCTGGAATGGCTTCAGAAATTCCTCCGAATGCTCACAATCATCCTCAAGATCCTCGTGCGACCGCTTCGACAGCTGTTCAGCAAGAAGCTCTACGAAGGCAAATGGATGAACTTCGGGAAGAAATGAGCAGAATGAGAGACACCGAAGCTCGTCTACGTCGCGAACGAGATCAATGGCGCATAATTGCTGAAGAACAGGAGCAAGAGAATGAGGGTGAAGAGGAAGAGAATGAGGAGGAAGGCGAACCAGAAGAGGACGGAGACAAAACCGACCCTGGATCCTGGAAGCCAATCAAGAAAGGAGGTGGAGGAGGTGATGGTGGTGGCGATCCAGACTCTTCTCCCCACGGTGGTGGCGGAGGAGGTGGCGGTGGATCTGGACCCGAAGATGGACTTGATTACACCGAAGGACCAAAGATATCCCGAAGAGAAGCCGACAAGATCAACATTCCTGCGTTTCCCAAGGTCACTCACTTGGACGCTTGGCAGGCAGCAGTCACCACAAACGTTCTGGCCGCGTGTGCAGATACCAACCAAAGCGACTGGATCAAATGGCTGCAAGAATCTTTCAAGCCGATGCCGGATGCTGAAGGGCTCAATGACTCGGGACACGTCAAGTTCAGAAGCATCGACGTGAAGCTGGCAAGTGCGATGACCCTCATGTTGCGGAATGCCGGAGATCAAGCAGCCGATCTGTTCTTGGAGGTGAACCTTAAATCAAACGCGTACATTCGCGGAAACGAATACAAGGTTCTAAAGGGACGACAGATCATTGCGATGATGATGGAAAGCTTTCGCACACGGGATCGACTTGACATGGTTTACACGATCGACTACCTGACCAAGTTGCAGTACCCAGGTGACAACAAGATTGCCGCATTCAAAGCAACGTGGCTAGAGATCATCTCTCGGATTCGACCTGAAGATGTACCTTCCACGAATGCCCTCCGCGACATCTTATACCAGAAGATATCAGGATCCTCTGAGATGAACATGGAGCTCAAGCTTTACTATGACATCAAGAGCTATGACGATCCAGAGAGATCACATGATATGCTGCTGAGGATCATGGACCGGGCGGTGCAGAGGAGAAGAGAGAAGAGGAACCTCAACGAGACACAACATGGTCTGAACCAGATGGTTGCTGGGAAGGACCTGCTTGCTGCACCAGCTAGGCCCGATCCCAAAGGGCCTCCCTCATCCGCGCCAGACAAGGATAAGAAGAAGAAGACGAATGAGAGAGGCAAGGACAAAGAAGCTGCGGATGCTGCGCCTGTACTCCCAAAGGGTAAAGCAAAGGCACACGAGAAGGACAAGAAGAAGGGGAAAGGTAAAGGCAAAGAACGATCCCGATCTCCTTCATCATCACGATCGCTGACCGACAAGGAGAAGGCGAAGATTCGTTGCAAATTTCACTTCGGAGGAGGATGCAATGCAGGAAAGAATTGCAAATGGAGTCACAAAGACACGGACAGAGGAAGGCCGTCTTCACGAGATGATAAGAACCAGAGAGCGCGAAGCCCATCATCAAAACCATCGGAACGACCTTGCTTTCAGTGGAGCAAGAACGGATCCTGCAGCCGAGAGAATTGCCCTTTCAAGCATGACCCGGCTAAGGCAGCGCCCGCAACCGGGGAAGCCGACGCGAACGCGAAGGCAAAGGCAAAGGCGAAGGCGAAGGACAAGAAGAAGAAGCCTGAACCTGCCGCACCCGCGATTGCGATTCGAGGTTTGCCTGCAGTACCTGTTCTTCGATCCCTGGATGATGGCGACGGTGATTCTGACGATGAGTCAATTGATGGCGACGCAGCGTCAGATTGCTCCACCGACGATGAGATCGGATCTTATCACAGAGACGTCAAGGACCTCAAAGTTTCCTTTGAACAGGGAACGAAGTTCGCGTCATCGAAGCCGAGGCGATCACACAAAGATAGAGGATTCGCCCCACGACTTTTCACTGAAGCGAACCTGAAGCACGAAAACCACATCTCGGAGGTCGAGTACGAGAAGCACAAAGCAAGAGCTAGGGCTCGATTGATGGAAGATATGTGTCTGGGCAAAGATGGAGGATGCATACCAGTTAGGATTCCAGGAACCGAGAAGGTGATTATGTTCAAGTTCGACAACAAGAAGGGGAAGTTCCATGAAAGAGCCTTGAGCGTTGATGAGAGCCGTAAGGAACTGATGAAGAACCCGAACATGTGTATGGTCCAACCAGAATTTATCCGCAGGAAGCTGAAATTCATCATGGACACAGGATGCGGACATGACCTTATCTCTCTAGAAAAGGTCGCCAAACACGGCATCGACACTACTATGGATTGCGAATCTACATCGTTCCAGACGGCGAATGGTGTCACTATGACTAACCAGACGGCGGAGTTCTTGACGAAATCCTTCAAGGAGCCCATCAAAGCACATGTGTTGGAGAATACACCTTCTGTGCTGTCAGTTGGGAAGAGATGCATGCTTCATGGCTATTCCTTTGTGTGGCCCGCAGGACGTCCACCATTTATGGTGAACGATGCTGGCGAGAGGATACAATTCTTCGTGCAAGGAGACATCCCCTATGTCAGAGTGGGAAGCAAAGTGCCAAAGCCCATGAGGAACCCGAAGCGATGGAAGTGTTCCGCTTGGTGCAGAAGTACAAGGACAAGGTGGACGATGATACCGACGACGATTCGACGT